GTGGTCGATACAACCTCGACCAGGTCTAAAACCAACCTGGTTCTCACGTGTGCATTCTTCCCGTGCGGCAGACAATCGACGGAGTATGATCTCAGCGAGAAATATAGGAGCGATGTTGATTAAACTAATTCCTCTGTGGTTTTCACAAGAGGACCCGTCACCTTTCTTGTAAGTCGGTAAGATAACCGATTCACACCATTCTGTTGGAAACTGTTCCGTTTCCCATATCGAGCGTAGGAGTTTCGTCAACTCCAAGACTAACTCTGAGCCTCCATCCTTAAACCCTATTGGGAACAGCTCATCTGGGCCAGAGGCCTTATGCCTTTTGAGATAACTTATTTCCCGGGTAACCTCCGTTTCAGATGGAGGACTGATGTCACCTGGCGATATTTGCTCAGTCGAACTGGGTGTAGGGAGGTCTTGTGCTGACGAGTGCCAGCTGAACTGAACCTTAAAATATTCTGTCCATCGATCTAGACAACGTTGCTAAATACAAATCACTGTACCGTCGGACTTCTTAATTACCTTTTCTTTTCTTTTTATTTTGCTTCCTTTTATTGAATATACAGTGATACAATTTTCGGGAAGGCGGAACTGGCCAATCAAAGGACTGCCATTCAACACACAATGGNTGAAAGTCAGGCAGTGCTGGTGGGATTCAAACTGACATCCCCGGGGTGTTAATTTGGTGACGTTACCACCGGGCCACCACCGCCCATACCTCACTTATGCGTGCTTTCCTCGGACCTATACTCATAATTAATCGGAAAAGATTGCGACTATTACCGATAACCGCAGCCCTCTCCATCTCTCTACACTTTCCCAACCACTGCATAACCAAGTGCTACCGGTAAGATAACAAGGTAAGGTAGATGGGCTTATTTGGTAGCGGGCCAGATTTACGCACGTCGTAGTATTTTTTAAAGATTTGTGGAATTACCACTGAGGGAGGCACACCCTCAAACATCGCCGCTGATCATCCAAGACCGTTAAATCAATGAACCAATGCCCAGTTACTCAAGGTTACTT